GGATGAAAATTTGGATATTTATTTGAGACAACGAGAATCATTAACGAATGTCAAAAAACTGATGAATATTTTGTATTATTATGTACAATTAAATATTAAAGTAATTAAACAACTCAATTCTGTTATTGTTTGAAAATTAAATGATTTGTATTTTAATTTTCTACCAAATTTCACAAGAAGAAGACGTCTTTAAAAATTAATTAATTATTTCTAGATATATAACGTTTAGTAGCTTCTTCGAGGATATTATTGAGTTCTAATTAAAAGTTTTTTAACTTCATTTATAGTTACGGTATTATTAGTTGTAATATTTGCTGCATATTGGGTTGCATATATATTATACTACAAATTGCTTTTTGTTGTAAAAATAAAAATATAAATTATCATCCTTGCATGTACATCGAAAAAATAAAAACTTAAAGATGAAAATTCATCAGTCTACTGCAATAAAATCAGAATTGTAGCTCAATAATATATTTTTTAATTGTTCCTGCGCCTCCACCAAAAAATTAACAGTAAATTTTTTAATAATGGTTGAAACGCTTTTGTATTGTGTGCCATCATGAACGACCTATTAGTTTAGATTAAAAATTAATGAAATACTCATAACTAGTATCTAACTACAAAGTATTATTAATCAACTAATTATTTTGTACGTAAATTTTGTGAGTTACGATCATCATCATTTTTTAGTCATTTTTTTTCTTATGCGATATTAATTAGGAACCAACGTGACGATTTTTCCATAAGTAAAGTTCTTTTGTTTTCATTTTTATTATCGATTCATAAATGTAGTAGTAATCTTTGAGCGAAACAATGGATTTGAAACTGTTTAAGTTCTTTTAACAGCAAAACCAATTACTGGGCCACTTTATCTGAGGCCATTTTCCAATGTCTCTATCAAGTACCAATTTATTGAATTGAGATTAACTCAAAATATTGATAAGAACATCTTTTTTTTCTTTACAAAATAGAATTTATTTATGCAATAAATATTCTAGTGTTTATATTATCTGGACAGGATGAAAAGGTTATCAATACATAATTGAAAATTAGTAATTAGAATTATACATACTTCTCCACAATATCGAACATCTCGAAAACCAAATTGTTACTATCCGAACATTTTTATCTATTAGATTATCAACCTACTAATATATTCGTAATAGAGTAATTAAAACCACAAGTGTTTACAATTCCGACCACAATAATTATTGTTCTACGTCAAATGTTATCGAAAAGCAGAAGATATATTTAAAAAAAAAAAAAAACTGCGCCTAATACAATTTTTCTTAAGATTGTTGTAAATAAAAATTACAAAATTACGAATTTTTCACACACAAATAAAAGTAAAAACAATACGATTAATTACCTTTTTTTATGTATACTGTGGACAGTTATTTCCATAATGAGTACTCAAATATATTTACTAGGTACTAAATAAGTAAAAGGCGCGTAATATGTTAGTTTATTTGTCCTAAATACTTGTCATCATCGACGACCACATAAAACTATTTTTTTTTATCTCTCGAGGACAGTATTCCTTCCGGATATGTTAAAAGGTACCCTGTGTCCTATTCTGTACCCCTCACAACGTGTGTACAAAATTCTATGATAAGTTTACACAATGTGCTCATTGTGGTCAAATTATAAAATTTAACTAAAACTTGTTAAACAGTTACGTTTTTCTTAATTAAAAACTTTTGTTTACTTTTAGCGCGATAATTCTTCGGCAATTTCGATAATATTTATTTAGATAATAATTCTGTTAGATAATGCACACGTGTTAAAGATTGAAATGTAATTGTACTCACAAGAATAGTTCTGGTAAAAATTGTTCCAGTGGAAATATGTTTAATGGCAGCAAATACAAATTAATACACACATTTGAAACTAATACGTGTTAACATTTATCATTAATTTATTATTGTTGCAGTACCCAACGGTAAAAGTAGGCCGACAATTCCAAACAACGCTTTTCTGGGTTCTTTAAACTACCTATGCACTTTTTCGGCACGCAACTGCAGGTATAGGTGTAACAAAATGTATTTATTATTGTAGATACAACTTATCAGAAATATTCGGCTTATTCACTGCAAATTTGTAGACTTTCGATGACATTGAAACAGTCACTAACAAATTATTTTGAAACGAAAGAGAATGCTAAACAAGCTGCGTCACAAAAGTTATTATGAATTATTATAAATAAAATTGGGCAATTATTATCAACAATCGCGCGACAAATTATCAAAATTAAATAGTCTATAAAAGTTTGGTTCTCGTGGTGTTCAGAGCAACCAACCACTTATTAATGTGTTTCAAATAGGAGTTGAAATGTTTGAATGTATTTGTTTAAAAAATATTACGAGTTTTTATGTACTATATAATTGCATTTGTCGTTTTTTTTTTCAGTGGCGCACTGTGCCAAAGTTATTAAAATTGCGCAAATAAGTACGAACTACAGACCAAATTTTGCCATTGTTTTTGTATTTATTTTTAGTAAATAATTAGATATAGAAGTCCCTGTTGGGTTGGGGAAAGTTGAAGTGTCGAATAAAAATAACTTTAACTCCCCTACTTCAGTGTCACCAACCCTCCTATTCCACAGTGCGACAACTCCCGATAAGGGATGCTGTACTTTCTCCCTGAAGCCAGTATGTGTTTTTTTACCAAACCCCTTTCCCAAAGTAATCTTTTTCTTAATTCCACATTATCAATTTTCAACACCACGTCGTGCACCTCCCAACTTAAAACAATTGTTTGGTGTTCTACAAGATCATTTACAACCCCCCATTCATTCCCCCCCGATCCCATGGAATGTCTCTACAACCAGACGTTTATGTGAAAGTAATTTAATTTGTAGAAATGTAATAATCTAATAACACTTAAAGAAATGAGATTGATAAATATCACTAACAATAACCAAACAGTGTGATATTCTTGGGTACGCCAATGGTGTTTGATATCGTGAAGCCTTCAGGCAAAGATTATCGTCATGGTATTTACCAGAAAGGTCAAAAAAAAAGGGACTTCTCTATTTAAACTTAGGTATTTAAAACTTCCGCTACACGTTTCGCTACACTAGAGAAAGGTCTACTTTCAGTTTATTTTTCCTTTTAATTACTTCTTATTTTATTAGTGTTTCGATTAAATTTATTTTTAATATGCCGCTGACCTTTTCCAGTATACCATAAATAACAAACAACATTGCATTTAATTGTTATATAAAAGAGCATACGTGGGTGGTATCTAAAGATGAAGATAATAAGAAATATTTGGTTTATCTGTAGTCTATATAGTTTTCAAGAAAATGATTTTCTTTGTTAATTAATTACATAAGTTGAGACGCTTACAAGATACAATCAGTCTTATTATTAAGACGCTGTTTAAAGGATTACTTACATGACTTTTTGTTAGAAGAGAAAAATTCCATGTTGATATTTGGAATCATTCATTGAAAGTACAATAATAAATCACTAAAATATTTAAATAATTGAGCGCTGTGTATAAATGAATATAATTTTATGCATATAAAAGCCTTACTTTTACTTATTTTTGATGACATTTAAAATGACAATGATTATGATTATGTAACAACATGTCGGCTGATAAAACTAATAACTGAATTAAATCTTAAAATAGAGGAAGTTGAAGTTCCAAACTAGCACTTTAGGCTCTTACAACGAATATTATTTCATTATATCAATTTGTTATTATATTTGATTACTAATTTAATTAAGTGACGATTAGAAAGTTGTAAATTTTGATTTTAAAATGTCTATAATTTTTTAAATTCCGGGTTTTCGAGGCACACCATTACATGAGCAACAAGTTAATCATTAATGCAATTTAAAATTAATTGGTTTGCATATTATATTTTATATTTTGTATTTGTTAATATTATTTTATTTTTATTTGGGAAATGAATTGAATCCTTACCTTAAATTATAAATTATACGGTAAGGATT